CGCTGTTTCCAAATTTTAGCTATACAAACTGTGCCACTATAAACATGGTGAGCATACTTCTCTGTGATACGATTCTTTTAGTTCTTTTGGAAAGATACCCAGCAGAGGGATGCCTGCGTCAGATGGAACCTCCAGTCCAAGCTCTTTGAGGTATCTCCATATTGGTTTCTATAGTGGTTGCACCAGTCTGCACTCCCACCAACAATGGAGAAAGGTTCCTTTCTCCCCACAACCCCGCCAACATTTGCTATTGTGTGATTTATTGATAGCAGCCATTCTTTGTGGTGTGAGGTGGAATCTCAGTGTTGTTTTCATCTGCATCTCTCAAATGACCAGTGATGTGGAACATTTTTTCATATATTTACTTGATGCTTTTACTTCTTTGTCTGAGAAATGTCTGTTCATTTCGGATGCCCATTTTTGAATTGGGTCTTTATATTTGGGGGGGTGATTGTTTTGAGTTCTTTATATATTCTTGATAATAGTCCTTTGTCTGAGGAACAGCTGGTAAAATTTTTTTCCCACATTGTAGATTGTCTCTTGGTTTTGCTGGTGGTTTCTTTGGAAGTATAGAAGCTTTTTAATAAGATGAGATCCCAGTTGTTGATTCTATCTGCTAGTTTCCGTGCTACTGAGGATTTGCTCATAAAGTCTTTTCCTATGCCAATGTCTTCTAGAGTTCTACCTAACTTACCTTCCAACAAGTTTAATGTTTCTGTTTTAATATTTAGATCTTTAATCCATTTGGATTTTAATTTAGTGCATGGTGAAAGATAAGTGTCTAGTTTTAATGTGTGGCAGTGGAAGGAAAGGAGCTAAAGGTGTAGGGAAGGTGGGACGGGTAGGGGAAGGGTAAAAAGGGAAAAGAAAAAATGTGAGAGAATGAAAAGATGGAAATAAAGTGGTTGTAGATGGGGAGGTGAGGAGGGGTTGAAGGGAGGACAGGAACAAGGGGAAAAAATGAGAACCAAGACTTGTCATGTAAAGGTACAAGATCCCAACAATGAATGTAACTGTACTGAATCCCTAAAATGTACCAATAAACTCAATTAAAGCTTAAAAAACAAACAGCTACAATATTTCAGGCAGGAAACTACATGCTGGACACCTGGATCTTCAGAACCTCCACTTGTTCATAAAAGGTCCTTGGGAGCTGTATGTTTGATAAAATACTGGCAGCTTAATCTATGTTGGTTAGTTTGGGGATAGGGACAACCCAAAGTAGAAAAGTAGAATACTTCCATGGGATTTGGAAATTTAAAAAGGAATTTGTTTTTCCTAGATGATGTAAGCCATATGAAAATCCAAGTGATATTAGAGACAATATTTCTTGCCAAGTGAAGATAGCCAGTTTACAGTGAGAGACAGGAACAAGGGAGAATTCTAGAAGAAGTTTGTCCCTGAGCTTTGGGTGTTTACGAGATCCAGTTCACCTTATAGCCCACAGTCATTCTATCCTCTCTTACACTCAGTCTGCAATATGCTCCTTTCTGTCTTAAGTACTGAATGACCCTATATTACTTTCCTAGGGCTACTGTAATAATAGTTTGCCACCAATTGACATATTAAAACAACAAAAATATATTCACACACAGTTCTGGAGGCTCAAAGTCTGAAATCAAGGTTGATTCCTTTAATGAACTGAAAAAAAATCTATTCCACACATCTCTTGTAGCTTCTGATGGTTGTTGCCCATCTTTCACTTGTAGGATAATATCTCCAATCTCTTCCTTCTTGTGTATCTCTTTGTGTCTTTTCCATGTCTTTCCTCATACAGTAAAATTTGTAATTGGACTTAGGACCAATCCTTAGGAAAGATTATCTTCTGTTGAGATCATTGGATTAATTGTATTTTGAAAGACCCTTCAACCAAATATAGTCAGGTTCATAGCTTCTGGGTGGATTTTTTAGGGTGATGCTATTAAAAGAAAACTCTACAGTAGTGGTGATGATTGTGGGGGTTAATGATATACATCTCAGTACATTATTTTATGTATTTAATCACATTTCCCTACTGTCACCATTACCCATTTTTTTCTTTCTGTAGGGTCATTTTGAAATTTTACAAACATGACACTATAATCCCCAAACAAAAGTTGCATTACAACTTACACTCATAAATTTTTTAGATTTATCTTTTCTTTGGTAAAAGACAAATAAGTGATCTCAACTTACATGGTAGAATTACACTTCAGTCTTCCATGAACAGCTGAAAATATGATTTTAAATTGCTTCTGGACTGCCTCTGGAAAAATGATTTACTGGAGCACTCTTGTGTCTACACACCTCATAGGTATTTTTGTTTGCTTTAGCTTTTTAGATTAAAAAAAATAAGTAACAATGAAGAGGAAGTATGTCAATATTTTGTCTTTTAACTGGTATAAATTGCCTTTAACAAAAAGGGAAATGTTCCCTATTATGTGAAGTCAATTTTCATGGAACCAGTCATTTGGTAGAGTAACAAATTTACCCCACACTGGAATCTCAAATAAAAAACCCATTGTAAGCCATTATATAGCTGGTTTTATGTTTACTGGCAGCTGTCTTCAAATCTTCACTAATGCAGAGAAAAACTATTATACTGGTATTAAAAAAATATTCCCATAACAACAAAAACAAAAATACAAAGACCCTGTGTTTATGAGAGGTGTTTTATTGGGAAAATACTGAGGGACAGATTCAATAAAAAACAAAACCATACCTTCTGCTCTGTGTAATCTTATGGAAGCTGTCTCTCTTCCTGATTCATGGCAGAGGTATTGTTTCTCCATACAGAAGACATCAGAAGGTTTAAATTTTGTATTTCCTGTAGTCTGAGGATATCACAAGGCAATTTTCCATTGCCTACAGCCTTTAAATATAAACTTTGAGTTCAAGTATAACAAACTCTGAGTCTACTATATAATTCTTTTTTTTTTTTTTCTTGAGACAGGGTCTCACTATGTAGCTGAGACTGACCTGGAACTCACTATGTAGCCCTGGCTGGTCTCAAACTCACAGTGATCCTTCTGCCTCAGCCTCCTGAGTGCTGGGATTACAGGCATGTGCCACCATGCCTGGCTTCTACTATATAGTTCATATATCAGGTAATAATATTGTCTTCCAAACTGGATGCAACGTTACCTCAGTCTCAGCACATTTACTTTGTTAAGTTGTAACCAGTGCCTCCGTTGTACCACAGCACACTCTTCTAACAGAGTAAATCCAAAAATAGGAATGCCAAACTCTTGTCATGTAAAATCTCTCAGTGCGGTACTAAAAAAGAAGATATAGCTTTCATAAAGTGGCAAAAGTGCTATAAATACGTGATGGCAGATTTGTTTGGGATAAAGTTAATTACTTCCTTGTTAATTCCTGATAAAACCTTGAAGGCTCTTTAATCACTTACTTTTGGCTGTTGATGTATCTTTTATATAGAGTCATAGATGAATACATTTTTTAAAAAATCTTTGCTTCTCCTTGTAGTTAACAGTTCTATTTGACATTAAAATTTTCTATTCTTAAACTGACTTGATCCTTTTTAATGATGTTCATGCCCTTAATCAGGACTATATAAACAATTCATATTACAAATTTCATAAGGACATATGTGAACATTTAACAGGCTTTCGGAGACATTTGCTGTTTAAAATATTTAGGTGGATTTTCTTTTTTGGAGCTTATCCTGTGCTAGTAACAGACAGAGAAAAATATTTCCCATGCCTGTGAGTATTGAGGAGTCTTTGTGTGCCTACTTCTTTTCCTCCATACAGGGGACATGGTGTGCACTTAGGGTGAGCAGAAGAAAAATGACAAGAAGCAAAAGTAGTGCTGCTGTGGGATCGGATTCCAAGCAGAATTCCTTCGTAGCCTTTCATTTCTGTGAGAGTGGAGTGTGGTGTTCATTTTCACTGTATCTGCTCGCCTAATTGTTTCTGCCTGTTCATTTCATTCTTCAGTGAAAACATTAGCCTAAGGGACATTTGAAAATCAAAAGGTAAGCTTGAAGTTGAACAGGAAATGAACAGTGGTGTTGTTGTAATATTAAAGTAAAAGTTTTGATCCAGGAACAAACAGTCACAATTCAAAACTCAGTATGTCTTTTCTCCTTTACATTGTTTGTTTTTGCACTCCTGAATGTTGAGATTAAAGAAAAACATTCCGTGATTTCTACATTTTTACCCAGTGAGGACATTTAAAGGTTGCTGTAAGGAATGCACTAATGGACTTACCTTAGATGTAACAAAAAATCAAGTGATTTTGAATTATTGCAGGAATTTATAAAATCCAGGGCAGATTTCCTGACAGCTATAATTCTTTTTAGAATCATCCCTCGCCACCCCCGAACTTCCTCTTACCAAAATTTTCAAGATAATTAAGGAAGTAGTGGGAAAGTTAGAATCTGAAACATCACAAGACCCAAACTGACCAGATAATATCTAGCTATCTGCATTACTTGTAAGGTAAGAGTAGGACTTCTGTGACTCTATGTGTGTACTGTTTAAGCATGACTCTGGAAGGAAATTGTATTAGAGACTTAGAACTTGAACTTCCGAAGTTCAATGTTCCTCACCCTAGTTGCCCATGTACACTCGAAGCAGCATGGGTTAATTGCAGTGAACATGGGTTAGGTTAAATGCTGTTAATTTAACAACCCAAGATGTAGTGTTGTTGTTGTCCATCTTTTCTCTGGCCATGGAAACAAAAGATCAAATATAGTCCAAGCCACTCTCAAAGGATCTCAACTTAATACTGCCAATTTTACAACATATTCTCCACCTTAATGAGGAAATCAAACAATTCTAGGAGAGTAAAACAAAGCCATCAGCAAACTCGTTTAAAATGGTCTACCAGATACATTCTAAGACTTGAATAATAAGGTGCATAATAGTAGGTTAAAAATATAAAATTAAAGTGTAGGAGTTTAAACATGCACAAGTTATTATACCATTTATTTTTGGAAATAATATGGGTTAATTCAAATGACCATAATGAGGAATAGTCAAATAACAAGTAATTACCTTTTCCTGCCTTTGAAGAACAATGGATTTGGGATGGATCCAAATTTGTAAAAAGCAATCATGATTTTACATTTAATTATCTAAAGGAAAGATCGACATAGTTTTGTATTAGTTTGCTGACACTATATTTCATAGACATTACATACTTGGAGAAATAATTTAATCAAAAGTTAGATTCAATTATTCATTGATAACGTATTACATTCATTAGGCTTCAGAATCTCACGACAACAGAACTGTTGATTATAAAACACATTTTAAAAGGGGAAAACTGGCTCATTTCGCTAGCTTTACAGTGATCATTCTCCATGGAGAATGCAGTCCTTTGGCTGTTTCTATTACCAGAGTGGATGCAGTGTTTGTGGCGTCAGATGGTGGGGCAAGATACTAGGTACAGGTCTGAAATGGGAAAGCAAAGCAAATGGACAAATTGTAAGTTAAATACTTAAAGGGGAGGGGATGTATTTTTTACAGGTATCAATTATTGTCGTTACAAGTAATAAATAATGCTAAATAAAACATGTAACTAAATGGGCATTAAAGACCCTTTACACACATAGAAGACAAGAAAAGCTTTTTTTTCTCCTATGCTGCAGACTGCAGGCATTTTCCTCTGCCTCTGTCAAGTGTAATTCTTTCTTGATGAATGACAAGGCAGGATAATAGGCTGCGGTCACCATAGCAACCAGACAGCAGCACTGTGTGCCTAGCATTTTTTCATCTGAAAATGAAACCAGAAGCAAAGAAAAGCTGAAAATGTAACCAACAGATTAACTGATACAAAAAAAGAGAAAAGAATGAAATAAAGGAACAAAAAGGCAAGTTAGATTACAAGCAATTAAAATTACAGTACCTAGTCTTTCCCTCTTGCTCTCTTCCTCCCTCTGTCTCCCTCTCTCTCTCTGTCTCTCTTTCTCTTTCTCTCTCCCCCTCTCACATACACACACACATACACACAAATATACACATATACCAATTAGATATTTTAAGTACTATTTAATAAACATGAAAGGATCATCATTCTTAAAAAATTTTCCAAAAAGTCTCATTTCTTTTTAAAACCTAAAAAGAATTAATTTTCTAAAAGAGTCATTTAAGTCCATTAAACACTACCATTAATTTGGTATAATATATTGGGTTGGTGTTTGAATTTCTAAATTCCTTTCTTCTTTTTATGCCCATCCCTAAACTATCCAGACACCAAAATCTTAAAGTGCAACAGTTTTATATAGGACAGGGTAGGGCAGGGTGAGCAAATGAGGGTGACTTGGAGCTGAGAAATAAGAGGGCAGTTCTATATTAGCATTCACGGATTCTATAGTCTTCATCCACTGTGTTTATCAGAGTTGCTCTTCTATTGCAATAAGAGAATGATGCAGGGGTTTTTTTTTTTTTTTTGGTTTGTTTTTTGGTTTGTTTGTTTGTTTTTTGTTTTGTTTTGCTGTATTCCTAATCTCAAAATGATGCGGGTTTTTTTTTTTTTTTTGGTTTGTTTTTTGGTTTGTTTGTTTGTTTTTTGTTTTGTTTTGCTGTATTCCTAATCTCAAGTAAAAGAAAGGTGCTAAATACATATTCAGAACATTGTATATTCCATCCATATATTTTTTTATTAACTTGATCTCAAAAACCTTTGTTGCAGTTTTTCATGGAGATAGTCTTTGTTTCTACTGAGAAAAGAAAAAGAGAGACATAAATGTATATTTTCTGAGAGTAGTATTTCCTTTGCACAGGTTGAGTGAAAAACACTGAGCCAGAAGTTAGAGGACAAATGTTCAGCTAATAACTCAATTTTGAAACTTCAGGCTGAGCAGCAGAGAAGATCGACCCAACGAGGTCTTAGAATCAAAATACCTACCCCTTTGATAATAAAAACAGATATCAACAACTACTGTGAATGAAGCAGAGCATTGTTAACCTTTGAGCTTTAGTATTTTTCATTTCTAAAATGGGCAAATCTTAGCTCCTTCACAGGATGGAGAATGCACAAGATCATCTTTTGGAAGTGTCTGGTACATAGTAGGAGTCAATTAAAGATTCCTCCTTCTCCTTCATGGAAGCTCAGTTTTCTCATCTGTGTAGTATTAATGTGTGTGCAGTGTGTGAATATGTGCCAGGGAGACATAACACCTGCTCCAGACAGTTGTGGATCAAATAAATTGCTCACTCAAATGCTTTGAAAATATGATGTTGCTTACAGAAAAGGAAGTGGAGTCACCCAGAGATGCTGAGAAATTTCTCTGCAAGAGAATCCTAAAGAAAAGTATTTGTCTCCAACCTTTTTCAATGCAGAGAAAACAACTGACCAAAGGGTTTTCATCTCAGGAACTTTCCTTTGATGGTCAAGAAGGCCAAAATGTTGAAAGAGGCCCTCAGATAAAGATGACAGAAGTTAGTGAGAACATAGAGTATCTAAGTGTTAACAAGTGTCCAATATGTGTTGGTACAGAGTACTCCCAATTTTCCTCTAACGTGCCCAGTGGTTGCACTGGCCACCCACAGCAAGGCCTAATAAATCCTTCCTTTGTCCTCATTTCCCTCAACGCACACAAATGCAAAGTAAACAGTTGGATCAAAGCTTTTAATGTGCTTTGTACTGTTTTATTTGAAAAGATCAGGTCTGATATTTGAGAGGAAGAGTCCATCTGGCTGGACTGAGCTCAAGAAGCCTCAGACAAATTGTAAACAAGATCATGGCACAAAGTCCTCTCACAGCCCACAGCCTGCTGCTACCATTACCAAAACAGCATCTCAGGCTAGCCAGGTTTTCCAGACATTCATGCAAAGGGAGCTTAGTTTATGGAAAGTGACCCTCAAAAACAAACAAACAAACAAACAAACAAAAAAATTGAGGGCCGGGGGTTTAGCTCAGTGGTTCGGTGGCCTGACTTGCAAACGCAAGGACCCAAGTTCAATTCCCAGAACCAAAAAAAAAAAAAAAAAAGTGACCCTCTCACAAACCTTTCCTAGAACTTTCTAATGCATATACTGCACATTACCATTGCCATTTCTAGCTAATCTTCTCTTGATCTAAGACTATAACTGCTTTGTATTTTTTAAAGTTTTTAACATAGATATCATAGTTCTCCATGTACCATTAAAACTCCAAATTCAAATAAACTCAGTAATTTAAGAGCAAAAGGCTGAGGAACAACGATTGAAGGGAAAAGAATAATTGCTTCATTAAATATGATCTATATTCTTTTAAAACTGTGAAATTTTCACTTTATACTGCCTTTGGAATAAAAGGGAGTTCATTACAATTTCTCAGCCCCAGCATCTGTGACACTTTATGTTGTCATTTGTACAGTTATCTATTCTTTCATTGTGAGCTCTTCACAGATAGGGGCAATGGCCATGTGCTTACATGACACATCCCCAGGGCCTAACAACATGCTTGGCTCTTAGCAGGCCCTCAGTAAATTCATTTGCTAATCAAATGAATGAGCTTTGGATTCGGACACATGTTCATTTGTACTATCATTTCATCACTTACCAATTGTTACTGCAGGCGACTTTACTTTTCTGAGCCTGACTTCTCCTCTGTAAAATGGGAAGAAAATTCTTCACATAATCATTATGACTCCCAAAGACACATGTGTAAAAACATAGTGTCTGGCATAACATAGTAGATATACAATAAATATTACTTTTTCCTTTTAAAATTCAATCTCTTTTGATAACTATTTTTAGGAAATCACTTGTCATTTGAAGGGATTTTCCTGGGTAGTCTTTGGAAACCCACAAAACCCCAGTAGAGGAATTAATTACAAGTTTATATGGTGCTCATTCCCTAGGGAGTACTATGTGAGCCTGTTCCAAAGAGCATGTCATTTGGAAGTATACAAAAGTGAATGCCATTTGTCATTAACCAGAACAGGGAAGGCTGAATGTGATTGAAAGACCAGCATGGAAAGTGAATATAGAACCTTGGGGTTGCACAAGGTGAAGGACCAAGCATAAATGTTCAGTAGCAGAGCCATTAATCTAGTCATGACCACCTGCGCTTGAGCATCTGGTGAACAGATTACAGATGACAAAATAGGTGCACACAGCGTTAGCTGAGGTCAAAGATGGGAATGATATTTGGACATTTACTGAGCATCTACAATGCATGGGACAGTGGAGTACACATTTACCTATGGAGATCCTTTCACTTAGGCACCAGCAGTAGCACAGTAGTATTTCCCAGGCTTCAGTCAGCCAGTTTCTATCCAGGGTCTTATATTTATTAATGAGCTGTGTTACTAGCTCATTACTTGTCTTCTCTGGTCACAATTTCCTCATATGTAAAGGGAAGATACCTAGTTCACATGTTCATGGTCAACAAGTGATTCAATATATACATAAAAGTTATTTGAACACAGTGTGTACATAAATAGGATTCAATAAATTTTAATTGTTGGAGTTTGATTTGTACTCATTGTTTTCTAAAGTTAAGAAAGATGGGGAACTTATTACAGAAAACAATTGGACTTGAAAATCAGTATTATCAATTACAAGCCTTGTTTTCTTTAACAGAAAACGCAAATAAGAGGACCTTGATTGACAGATTTGATCTAAAATGTGCATTTATTTGAAGGGACCAAGTTTAAGTGTCAATAGTAAGCATGTAAATGCTAAGCAAAATTTCAAAGTTCAGGCAGTGAGTATCAGGGACACTTAGCAGCTGACCTCAGTCCAGGACAGCAAGAGTTAAAGTCCCTGCTCTCAGATATTAAGAAATGGAGAATCCAGCGTTTATGATGGAAGTCACCAAGCTCAGCACAATAGACAATTTAATGCTGAGACACAGGGGTGCTGAGTTCATCTTCCAAACTTGTAATTCAGACAAAATGATCATTCCCACATGCTGCACTGGCCTAACAACAAAACATAAGCTTCTGCAACTAGAGCTCAAGTTTTGTGCAGACCTCCATTCGAACTTCACTCTCAGCATTTTCTCCCATTCGAGGTCACTAATGAATTGGCTCTTTCCTGCATGTGCACATGGCACTCTAGAGAAAAAGACATCAACTTCTGGTCTTACTCTTTCTTGCATCTAGAACATTATTCCCTCCAATCTTCACCTGTCTAAGTTCTT